AAATTTCTCTAACTTTACCTTCAATCCTTCTATTGGATTTTCTTTTAGCAACTATTTTTTTATTTTCCAAAATATCTTTCTTTTTTTTTGTGAAGAAGGTGGCCCTGAGCTAACATCTGGTGCCAGTCTTCCTCTGTTTTATGTGGGATGCCACCATGCCGTGGCTTGACAAGCCGTGCTAGGTCCGTGCCCAGGATCCAAACCTGTGAACCGTGGGCCACCAAAGTGGAACACGAGAACTTAACCACTATGCCACTGGGCCAGCCCCTGCAAAAGATCTTTCTTATTTTCTGTTTTCTTGTTGATTATAACCAACTGTTCTTGTTTTGACAGAGGTTACATTTTTATGTAACTCTCTGAGGATATTAAGGATGGTTTCCTTGCACATAACATTTGTCTTTTTCATCAGAGTAATTATTTTCTGTTTGTTTTGGTCTTGTCTTTCATGTTAGAGGTTTCCTCAACAGAATCTTTTCTCAAAGTCCGCAGCCCAACTTCTTAGACCTTTGGGAGTATTTCACAGGGAATTGCTGTTCTGACTCCTTTTATTACTTCCCCTGGGGCAGAAATTGTGGGTCCAGAGTGATGACATACTAATTTATTTGAGCACTCATACGCTAGACTCTCTTTTGTGTAATTTAATTCTTTTCTCAATCCTATGAGGCAACTACTACTATTATTAGCATATTCCCAGCTGAGGAAACAGTCACAGACAGGCCATGTAACTTGGCCAAGGTCACACAGCCATCATGTGGCAAACCTGGGGTTCTTGGCTCCAGAGCCCGACCTGCTAATCACCTCTAGTCAACCACTTTATTGGGAACCCTGGGGACAAGTTGCTCTCTATTCTTCATAGAAAACAACCACAACATTATAGCATTTATTGACCACTTACTAAGTGCCAGACACTGTTCCAAGCACTTTACATGTGTGGATTCATTTAATCCTCACAATAGCCCTATGAAATGGGTACTATATTTAGTCTCATTTTACAAAGAACCTGCCACTGGTTAAAATTGCCTGCTGTAGACTGAGTGCGTGTGTCCCCCCAAATTCGTATGTTGAAACCTAACCCCCAAAGTGATGGTGTTAGGAGGTGGGGTTTTGGGAGGTGATTAGGTCCTGAGGCTGGAGCCCTCATGAATGGTATTAGTGCTCTTATAAAACAGACCCCACAGAGCTCCCTTGCCCCGTTCTGCCACGTGAGGACACAATGAGAAGACAGCTGTCTGTGAATCAAGAAGCGGGCTCCACTGGACCTCCAGTGTCTTGATCTTCCTGGTCTCCAGAACCGTGAGCAACCAGTGTCTGCTGTTCGTGAGCCATCCGGTCCATGATGTTCTGTTATAGCAGCCTGAACGCGCTGCCGAGAGCAGCAGTAGTGAGGGCGCCGGCAGAATTTCCAACCTAGGCTGTCTGCCTGGCTCCGGAGCCCCCACTTTTTCTTTCTTTTCTTTTTGGGCCTCCTTTAGTTGAGTAAATGAATGGATTTACGGATGGTATGGTGAGAAGGGAACCTCTGACTTTCTTGGTTGTGTTTTTAGAATTCATCCATATTGTAGATACACATCGAGAATAGCACTCAGCAAACTATGGCCTGAGGGCCGAAGTTGGGCCATGGCAGTTTCTGTACAGCTTGCAAGCTAAGATTTTTAAATGGTTGGGGAAAAAAAAAAAATCAAAAGAAGAACAATATTTTGTGACACTGAAAAATTATTTGAAATTCAAATTTCAGTGTCCATAAGCAGTTTTGGTGGAATAGCCGCTCCCACTCATTTGCATATCATCTAAGGCTACAACAGAGATACTATGGTCTGAAAAGCCTAAAACATTTACTCTCTGGCCTTTTATGAAAAACTTTGCCAAGCCCAGCTCTGGATGATTGCCTCTCACTGCTGCAGAATGTGCTGCTGTGTGACTCTCCCACACTGACTGGTTCGTTCCCTGTAAATGTCCCTGGTTTGTCCCCTGGCTTATCCATCGTGAACCAGGGGAAGAACGTCTCTGAGATAGACAGCTGACTCATGGAGTGGACACACACTTAATTTTCCTTCCTTCTGTGTTGTTACAATTTCCAGGATTTTTCAAATTTTCACCATTTGACTTTTCACCAGGTATGCCGAGGGGCCAACCCAGTGGCGCAGTGGTTAAGTGTGCACGTTCTGCTTTGGTGGCCCGGGGTTCGCCGGTTCGGATCCCGGGTGCAGGCATGTCACACCGCTTCGCAAGCCATGCTGTGGTAGGCGTCCCACATATAAAGTGGAGGAAGATGGGCACAGATGTTAGCTCAGGGCCAGTCTTCCTCAGCAAAAAGAGGAGGATTGGCAGCAGATGTTAGCTCAGGGCTAATCTTCCTCAAAAAAATTTAAAAAAGTATAGTGAGATGTCCCCTTCTCGCCATACCATCTGTAAATGCATTCATTTAGTCAACAAATATTAATTGAGCACCTCACTTACTAAGTGCTCAGTTATTCTAGGTGCTGGGGATACAGCAAACGAACAGAGAAAGTCATGCTCTCTGGGAGCCTGAAGTCACCGGTGCTGTGTTCCTGGAGCCTTACTTGGCACATGCTCCCTTCCCAGCACTTGGTGTCAATAGCTGTTGGAATCCTCACAACAGTTCTATGAAGTAGATAGCATCGTCTCCATTTTCCAGATAAGAAAACCAGCTCAGAAATGCCTGGGTGGGGTGTGAGCTCCCCCCGGACTGGTTGTGGCAGCTCGGCTCTTAGTTCCGTGCTCTCCTGCCTCCCTGCACAGTTTTGCCAACACTCCACCTCTCTCATTTCCACCTTCCTAATTTTTGCCCTTCTGATGAGTGTAAAATGCTCGCTCATAATGTCGTTTCAATTTGCATTTCTCTGATATCTAGTGAATTTGAATATTTCTAAAATATGGGCTCTTAACTGTTAATTTGCTTCTTGAAATCAAACTAGCGTATCTTCTAAACAAGGTGAAAAAAATTTTAACAAAGAAATTCACAGACATTTACGTGTCTTCCTCCCTTGTTGCAATTTGAGGCTTGCGAGAAAGGAGGCAGATCTTGGCATGATGTGCTTTGTGCAGACCAGCTGGGGTCAAAGATCAAGCCACTCACCAGCCACGTGACTTCTTGCAAATTACTAACCCCTCTCAGCCTCTGCTTCCTCCTCTGTAAAATGGGCATAATAGCCCCTGCCGCGTAGGATTCCTGGGGAACTAAAGAGCTTGGCACATAGAAGTTGCCATCAATATTAGCCACTATCATTAACCCCGTCAGTGCTCACGAGAAAGGGAAAGAGAGTCACTATGTGATGATGGCAGGGAGCTTTAGCATTTTCCAGAGGGTCTCCCATGGTGCTGGCGTGAATAGTCTCAGTACTTAGCTTTTTCTGAGGGAAGTTTTGCTAGACTAGAGCAATTGCAGAGCGCAAAAGTTTATGTTGGGAGTAAAGCACGTGATTGTCAATGTGACTTCATGCAGGGTTCTGGAATCATTGCTCTCTTGTAGCTGCTAGGTGAGAATGAGGGTATTCTAGTTGTGTGCTCACAGACTTGGGGGTGGAACAGGGTGCACACTCCCCACTGTCCCAGATCTAGGGGTTCAGCTCATTAGAAGGCATTCAGGGGTCCCCTTTGGTCTCACGGTGGTCTTGAAGTCCTCACCAGGGGATCTGAGAGGCAGAGTGAAGACCCAGACACAATGGGCACTGCCCAAGAAATGGGAGTGGAGAGAGGGCTGGACCTTCCTCCTGCAAACCTTGACCCATGCCCTGGGCTTCGGTGCTGTGACATGAGACATCTGTATTTCCTTCACCGTGACAGTGGAGGGCCGATCTGGAAAGACCCCAAATGCCTGTTGAAACCAGAGTCTAAGTCATTCGCAGTGAAAGGGAAGTCATACTGTACACATGGCCTCTGGAGTCTGACTGAACTGGTCTTGAATCCCAGCTGGGTGACCTTGGGCAAGTGTCTTAACTTCTCTGAGCCCATTTACTAATGTATGTCTCACAGGGCTTCTTCATCTTTTGTGTATGACACATGGATCCCTCTGATGGTTGGTGAAGCCTATGGACCCGTTCTCAAAACAACACTTTTAAATGCATATAATAAAGCACATGGGATTACAAATACTAATTATATCCAACTCAAGTATCCACTGACAGATGAATGAATAAACAAAATGTGGTGTACACATACAATGGACTATTATTCAGCCTTAAAAAAGAAGGAAATTCTGACTTATGCTCAACATGGATGAACCTTGAGGACATTATGCTAAGTGAAATAAGCCAGTCTCAAAAGGACAAATGCTGTATGACGCCACTCATGAGAGGTCCCTAGTCAAATTCATAGAGACAGAAAGTAGAATGGAGGTTGCCAGGGCTGGAGGGAGGGCAATGTGGAGTGAGTGTTCAATGTGGACAGAGTTTCATTTTGTATGACAGAAAGGGTTCCAGAGATGGATGGTGGTGATGGTTGCACAACAATGTGAATGTACATAATACCGTTGAACTGGACACTTAAAAATAGTTAAAATAGTAAATTTTATGTTACGTGTATTTTACCACAAGTAAAAATAATATAAAAGGTGATTTACAGAAAAAAATTATATCAAAACTCAGTAACGAAAATATTAAGCAAATGTCTGAGGTAGTACCATAAGCGCTGCTTTATTGGGAATTAAATGGCAGCAGGTCAATTAATTAATTCACAAGTAGTGATACACGTGAAAGATCTCAGGAGATTTCTGTAACAACTGTCATGTGATATGAAAATATCTGGGATTTCTATTGGGGCTGTGGCTTGTTGCCGACATTCATGACAGAAGCAAATGCTAAATTTCAGTTAGAAGTTAGTGAAAATAAAGATGTAAATTTTTTTTCCCATCCAAGTTCAAGAAATCCTGAATCCTATACATGTAACCTTGAGGTGGACCCTGGGTAAGAACCCCAAGTTGGATGCTCTATATTCTAGAACCGTGGCTGCCTCTGGAAGGGTTCAATGTAAACGATGGTTCTTAGCAACAGACAAACTGGCTCCCCTCTTGGAGGGATGGATGGTCAAAGACTTGCATTCTGTTCCAGAAAGAGAGGGAACTCGTCCCTAGAATGGATTACATCACTTCTAGTAGAGCAAAGAAGAAAGCCGTGTTTCTGTGTCACAACTCACTGACCATTCATTCCCTGGTTCCCAGGGTGCTGTGTGTCTTTGGCAACTGACTAATCAGGTAGCTTTTCACCAAGCCTGGTAATCGTGTAGTCAAAGGTCGGTCTCCTCATCTATAAAGTGGTAATGATGGTGCCAGATCTCACTGAGATAGGCCCGTTTTAAATGCCTTGGAAGCTTGGCAATTGAAGTTAATATATTTTATTAATCTTTGACCTCTAACTATCAAAGGGAACCGATGAGTGGGTCAGTGGTTTCTGCTTTTGAAAAACCGGCTTAGTAGGTATAAGAGCCCTCAGTTTAAAAAGGATTTCACAATTTCTCATTTGCAAGAGAGGGAGGGTGTTAAATAAAATCGTGGTGAAACTGTGAGGGGGCTGTGATTTGGCCAGTTCCCAGGGCTTCCAATCTATTGAGCAAAAGCAATTTTGAAAATGTGATTTTCCTAAATGGAGAAATGAAATTTGAGCCCAACTGAAAAGATCCCAACGAAACTGCTTTCTCTAAAAGTATCCAAGACAGGAGCCCCTACTCTGTGTGTGTGTGTGTGTGTGTGTGTGTGTGTGTGTGCGGGTGTGTGTGAAGGGCATATGTGTATAGGGTGATGGACAGCTCTGCACGGGCTATGTGTGTGCAGGAGGAATGGGGTTTTGGTTGTCAAAACAGGGAAGAAAACCTTCTTTTTAATTCCTGTTTCGTCGTCTCATTTTAAGGTTTAAGAGCGAGCTTGGGGGTGGTCCTCGAAGGTTCTCTGAGTCGAGTGAGTTGAATGAGCTGTGTTCTGAGGACGTTTGCCCAGGCCTTGGCATTCCTGCGTGAGGCCTTCTAAAGAGGGCCAGGGCCTCCAGGCCCCTCCGGCACCCTCGAGAGTCCCCGTGGAGGTTTAATCAGCTGTGTGTTCTGCTCTTGGGTGCTTCTGTTGGGTGTCACGAGGGCCTCCCATCTGTGTGTGCACAGACCCTGATGACAACCAGCCTCCACGCAATGCACTGGATCCCGAATTCCAACCCCACGTCTTCTCAGGTGGCTCTTAAATCCAGAGCAACATGGGATTAAAGGAAATGTTGATCAACAGAGGGATGAGTCAAAAAGAGAGACAATCCAAAATGGATGGAGCAATAGATCAACGATCTGAGTCGAATCCGGGTGGTGGTTATGTGAATGCTCACTGTACACTTCTGACTTTTCTGCATGTTTGAAAATTGTCATAATGAAGTGCTGAGGAGAAGAGATCCAGTTAAAAAAAAAGGATGTTATCCTAAGACTCCAAAATTTTGATGTATCTGGGATAATTGTCTTACAGCTCAGTTAAAAAAAAAAGATCCAAAAATGATTAACAGAATTAATCAGATTCCAAGAATGGGGTGGAGAGGGATAGTCCTGACCTTTAAATTCTGCTGCAGTCTTGCTCGCTCTGAGTGGGCAAGGCAAGACAGTAGCTGTTGTAGGTTGACTTGTGTCCCTCCAAAAGGCCTGTTCAAACCCCTGGCACTTGTGAACGTGACTTTATTTGGAAATAGGGTCTTGGCAGCTGTGATCAAGGTAAAATGAAGTCTTACTGGATTAGGGTGGATTCTAATCTGATGACTAGTATCCTTGTAAGAAGAGGGAAGTTTGGACTAGAGACACAAGGGAGAACAGCCAGATGGAGGCAGATTGGAGTGATGCATCTACAAGCCAAGGAATGCGGAGGATTGCTGGCACCCGCCAGAACCTAGGAGGAAGGGAGGGCCCGCCCCTAGGGCCTGCAGAAAGAGCGTGGCCTTTCTGACACCGTGATTTGGCCTCCAGAACCGTGAGAATCAGTCTTTGTGGGGTTTTTTTTTTTTTTTTTTTGAGGAAGATTAGCCCTGAGCTAACTACTGCCAATCCTCTTCTTTTTGCTGAGGAAGACTGACCCTGAGCTAACATCCGTGCCCACCTTCCTCTACTTTATATGTGGGACGCCTGCCACAGCATGGCTTTTGCCACGTGGTGCCATGTCTGCACCCGGGATCTGAACTGATGCACCCTGGGCCGCCAAGAAGCGGAACGTGCATACTGAACCACTGCACCACCGGGCCGGCCCCAGTCTCTGGTGTTTTAAGTCACCAAGTGTGTGTACTTTGTCATGGCAGCCCTAGAAAACTAACAGAGGGGCTGCTTGGGGCTGCAGCTGAAACAGGGGGATGGCCTTGTTTACCTCTGGGGCAGCTCCTGGCACAAAGTAGCTGTTCAATAAGGAGTTGGGGTTGACTGACTAGCAGTATTACAGAATTTCCTTATTTATGTGCTAAGGTTTGTTCTCCTCCCCCCATACTAGGATGTCACCTCCATGAAGGCAGTGAGGACAGCTCCCATTCACGACTGTAAGCCCAGCACTTAGAACAGGGCCCAGCACATAGCAGGTGCACAGTGAACACTATATTTCACAGAATTAAGGGTCTTCCCTTCTCCTTTGCCCTCTTGTTCTTTTATTCATTCAGTAAGTGTTTATGAGGAGCTACCATGTGCCCAGCACCCTGCTGGGATTTTGAAGTTCCTTGACTTTCAATGATGGCAAAATTTTGGGGGGAAAGAAGGCACACATAGAGATAAAATGGAACAGTTAGAATGAAGATGCATATTTTTTACTTGCAAGGGGTATTAGGAGCCGTGGGTCCTAAGTGCTCGTTTTGCAGGGGGATTAGTTTGCTGGGGCCGCCATAACAAAGCACCACAGACTAGGGGCTTAAACAACAGAAATTTATTTTCCTACAGTTCTGGAGGCTGGACATCTGAGATCAAGGTGTCAGCAGGGCTGGTTCCTTCTGAGGCCTCTCTCCTTGGCTGTGGCTGGCTGTCTTCTCCCTGTGTCTTCACGGGGTCTTCCCTCTGTGTGTGTCTGTGTGCTAACTTCCTCTTATAAGGACACTAGTCAGATTAGGTTAGGGCCCGAATGACCCCATTTGAACTTAATTACCTCCGTGAAGATCCTATCTCCAAATAAGGTCACATTCTGAGGTCCTGGGAGTTAGGACTTCCACATGTGAATTTTGGGGGGCAGGGTGGGGGGGGGTCACAACTCCGCCCATAACAGCGGTGTGGAAAGGCAAACAAACACAGGCAAGTGAGGCGATTTGCCCGAGCTGGTTAGCAGCCGAACTGGGGCCAGGATGTGTCTCCCAGCTTCAGTCTGCTGCTTCTTTCCACTCTTGTTTGCAGCCTTGCTTTGTGGCACTGAAACATCAAATGCTTGAAGGATATCTAACCACAAGATCCAGGCATGCAGTGTCAGTCCTGGAGAGCCTGGAGAATGATCACTGAGCTGGGCCTGGCAGAGAGGGTCGGAAGCAGGTAGGTGGGGGAGCCAAGTGCAGACTCCGTGAAAAGGAACAACTGGGAGGCAAGGGCCGGGCGTGTGCGGGGGACACTTGTCTGCTGCGTGATGGTGGCATGAGGCTCTCGGCTGGTCTCTTGGCTTCTTCCCTCACCCCCTTCCAGGCCATCTCAACCTAGCAGCCACAGCGATCCTTTAAAAACTCCAAGTCGATTCATTTCCCTCCTCTGTCCACGATTTCTCCCGCCTCAGCTGGTCCATTCAGAAAGTCTCCGTTCATTCGCTCAGAAACTCTCCAAACCTCAGCCAGCTGGGGTGGCGGCTCCCAGCTCCCTTTGAACTCTGCCAGAAGGGGGCCCCCTGAGTAGGTTTCTGGGAAGTCAGGTCGAGAGAGCATGACTGTTTCTCAGTTAAACTTGGCTTCTCAGCTTCTTTCCTTCATTTGGCCTGGAGACAGGCGTTCAGGACACGCTACCCCAAAATATGGCACCGTGGAATGTTGAATATTTTAAGCTGAAGGAGTCTGAGAAATGGCAGAAGCAGGAAGGACTCTCATGTGAGAGGTACCCTCCCTATACCTGGAGGAGAGGAGCATCCTTTTCTCTAAGATGCAGGGACACTGAGGGGAATCTGAAGGAACAGGCCTTGCTGAGTGTCCCCCACTGCTGCACTTACCCCATGCTCTTTGCTCTGTCAAATTTCTCCACGACTGTCCACTCTTCATCCAGCCTAGCATAAAACACTCAGGTTTAACCATTTCTCTGGGTCTTTATTTCCTTGTGAAGGCTCCTGTGTCCTGTAAAATTTATATTAAATAAGTGTCAATGCTTTTCTCCTGTTACTCTATCTTTTTTAGTTTAATTTGCAGATCCAGCCTGGGACCCTAAAAGGGTCGAGGAAAAAACTCTTTTTTTCTCCCTACGCAGTTCTCTCCTGCAAGCTGAGCTTCAGCCTTTGGCTTTCAGTAGAATCAGTCTACTGTCATCTTTCTTCTTCTTCTTTTGCTGAGGAAGATTCACTTTGAGCTAACAGCTGTGCCAATCTTCCTCTATTTTGTATGTGGGTCGCCACCACAGCATGACTGACGAGTGGTGTACGACCTGGGAACCAAACCTGGGCTCCCAAATGGGAGAATGAATTTAACTACTAGGCCACAGGGCTGGCCCCTCTATTGTCATTCTTCTGGTCACCATCTTTACTTGGGGCTCCCAGGGCTAACACAGTTAATCTCGCCAAAGAACGGGGGCAGGGAGGAGTTGCGAGATGTGGACTCCCACCTGTGCTCCTTGGCACCTGAGTGACCCTTGAGACCTGCTCTGGAGGGGAGGGAGGAGGCTGACCTTTCACGTATGCGCTTGGAACTGCTTCTGGATAAATTCATCCAGGGCAGGAGAGAGCTGATGAGCCTGAGGATGGGGGAGAGGGGAGATCCTCGGCAGTCGTCTGGTAAGTATGCCTTATCCAGGCCGTTCACAAAGGTTTTACCTGGTTATTGTGGGAATTGGGAGAAGCCAATGGAGCACTAAGCACTCCCATACCCCTTGGAGCAGAAACCAAGTATTTTCTCTCAGAATCCTGAAACCTCACATCTAAGTGGGAAGAGGGGCCCCAATGTGAGGCCGGACCAGGTGTGGGAGTGGTCTGGGAGTGGCTGGCCTCTCAGATGATGTCCAGCCATAGTCGTTCCCACCTTCCTCAGGCTCCCGGAATTTGAGCCATTCCGTCTTGCAAAGGATTCCCAGAATGTTGGGAGAAAACGGAACACTCACTGTTTTTTTTAGAGGGGTCCTTAAAACAAATTAGGGTTCAAGTTGACCAAGAGATGCTTGATTTCAGGTTTCCCGATGACAGGGATCCTGGTCACAAGCTACTGAATTGTGAGGAGACAGAGAAAATCTCATTTTCCTTAGCAACAGAATTGCTGCCTCCCTTCCTCAGCTGAGATCCACTTTTAAGAAATACTTTGAGAGCTCATGGGAGTGGGAAGTGAGGCCTCCAAGGGCCTGCTTGAATGTTAACAATAGCTGGCTGTGGCCACTTCCCCCGGGGGGGCTTGGCCGTTCACTGCAGGGCTTTTGTTTCGCGTTTGCTGAGGTTTGTAATTCGGAAGACAATGAAGGTGATGGAGAAGCTGAGTAGGGGAGGGCGGGGGAGGAGGAGGCCTGGGCGCTGTCTCCCACCAACCCAGTCCTTGGGTACCACCCACTTCTCTCGGAGATGGGGGTCATCTCTGGGGATGGAGTGTCATTCCACCCCTAGGCTGAGACGGCTAAGTTCAGGGACCACCTCAGCTGGGGTGCAGAGGTGAGGGGGCAAAACCTAAGCCCACATCTTTCTCCTAATAGTTTGTCAGTCATCACTGGGGTCAGAAGCTCCAGGAGGAGTACTGGAGCAGGTACCGAAGAGGGGTGGTCGTCTGCCATCCACCCGCTGCCCCTGGCCTCTTGCAAGGTCGATTTTGCGCAGCTTTTCTTAATATAACGGCAGAGGCAAGAATTCCCTGGCGAGGATGGAGCTAAATGTCAGAGACAACCACTTCTCCTTCCCTGGTTTATTTCTCTGCTCTAGTTTCAGATTTACTCGCCCTTGGAGAACCTTACTTCAAGCCCAATTGCCCAAGCCAGGTCTTTGTTTTGTGAATTAATCAAATAATAATAGCGCTCCCCCCTGCTGGGAACCGGCGGGAGGCCGCAGCAGGTTCAGCATCCAGCGAGCAGGGAGGAGCAGGGACCGGCCTGCCTCCTAGGAGCGGGGCGAGGCTCTTGCTTTTGAATTCAGTGAATGAAGTTAGCAGCGGACAGCCGGCTGTCCCTCTGGCTGCAAGGCTGCAGGCTGGGCTCAGATTCCAGGCCGAGGAGATGGTCCTGTCGTTCTTTGCCAAACTGCACTGGGGAGACTGTCGGCCTTGGCAGCTGGCCTGGCCCTGTCCCATCCAAGACTTGAAGGCTGATGATAGCAGTCTTAGATGGAACCACAGTGCCCTGTCCCGTCCTTTTAAAGTTAACTTTTTTATTTAACCTTTTTTTTTTTTATTGGAGCCTACCATAAATACAGAAAAACATATAGATCTTGTTAAAGGAGAATCTTTTTTTTTTTTTTTTTAAAGATTTTATTTTTTCCTTTTTCTCCCCAAAGCCCCCCGGTACATAGTTGTGTATTCTTCGTTGTGAGTTCTTCTAGTTGTGGCATGTGGGACGCTGCCTCAGCGTGGTCTGATGAGCAGTGCCATGTCCGCACCCAGGATTCGAACCAATGAAACACTGGGCCGCCTGCAGCGGAGCGCGCGAACTTAACCACTCGGCCACGGGGCCAGCCCCAAAGGAGAATCTTTTTAAAATTTATTTTTAATTTTTCCTTCTTCTCCCCAAAGCCCCCCCGTACATAGCTGTATATTCTAATTGTGGGTCCTTCTAGCTGTGGCATGTGGGACGCCTCCTCAGCGTGGCCTGATGAGCGGTGCCATGTCCATGCCCAGAATCTGAGCCAGCAAAACCCTGGGCCACCGAAGTGGAACTCACAAATTTAACTACTTGGCCACAGGGCCAGCCCCAGGAGAATTTTTTTAAAAGGGTATAATCATGACTTTTATACAAATATAAAATGAACACGTCATAGATTTTATTGAACTCACTAACTAATGAGGGAACCAGTATGACATTACAATGGGTTTGAAGCAGAATCCAGGAGCGGACACACTATAGGCCGTCAGGAATGCTGGAATGGATTGGCTTAATGGATACAAAATTGGTCAGTCTCCGTAGGTCAGTAACTAACTACAACTCCACTGGACGCAGTGTGTGTTTTTCTGGACAAGCATCCTTTGCAGTATTATCAGTATTCAACAACTCACAGAGCTGTAAAATAGCTCAAAGCTGATGAAAATGTGCATAGAAGAAAATAGTCCTGATGCGTGTGGTGGACGACACCCAGTTTTCTGTTGAAGGAACCTAGTAATTTGGGGATCCGTTTCAAAGCACTTCACAGTTGTTCCCTTCAGCTCTGGTGTGTGGCTCAATCACTGTTCCGAAGTGCACACTCCTGTGACTGCCACCGGGGACGAGGCTGACAGCATCAGCTCCTTGGAAGCCCTTCCTGGGCTTCTTCTCAATCATTCCTTGCGCTTTTCTTTCTCTGGGAAGGTAAACCCTATCTGGATTTCCAAACCCTAGGGCTGGTTTTGTCTGTTTTGAACTTCCTGTAAATGTCATTAGAGAATATATACTCTTCTTCTTCTTCGTTTTTCTTTTGGAGGAAGATTAGCCCCGAGCTAACATCTGCCTCCAATCCTCCTCTTTTTGTTGAGGAAGACTGGCCCTGAGCTAACATCCGTGCCCATCTTCCTCCACTTTATATGTGGGATGCCTACCATAGCTTGGTGTGCCAAGCGGTGCCATGTCTGCACCCCGGATCCGAACTGGCGAACACGGGGCTGCCGAAGCAGAACGTGCGCACTTAACCACTGTGCCACTGGGCCAGCCCCAAGTACATACTCTTCTAACTCTGGCTTCTTTCACTCAGCAAATTGTGTCTGCGATTCGTCCGTGTATCAGCACGTATCAGTAGTTCCTTCCTTTTGATTGCAGTACAGGAGTCCACTGGATGAGTAAACCACTGAATCCGTTCTACTATTGATGGGCATTTGAGTGGTTTCCAGGTTTAGGAAGTAACAGTGCTGAGGTGAACGATCTTGTCCACGTCTTCTGGTGCCCACATGCTCAGGCATCTGTTGGAGTGGAATTGCTGGAGGTCACAGGATAGGAATGTTTGGTTTTAGTAGGTTCTATCAGGTTCCCAAAGTGGTTGAACCCATCTCATTCCCACCAGGAGGCAGGAGCCCTGTTACTGTCCGTTCCTTCTTTCCAGCTTCTGGCTCCAGGATTGTTTCTTAAACTCTGCTGAGGAAAATTTCTTTCTAAGTTTAGATTCTTGCCTACAGTCATTTTTAAATAGCTCCAGTCTTGGCAGCCAGAAAGATTCTTTTAAAACCCGAGTGAGATGCTGTCCCTTCCTCGCTCCCAGTTCTTCAGGGCTTCCCTTCACGCTTAAGGCAAAATCCCAGCCTGCGCTGTTTTTTCTGGCGCCCGCCTGCTCTTCTCATCTTGTGCCCGCCACTCGCCCTCTTGTCCCTGGCCCCAGCCGCGCTGACCTTCTTTGTGTTCCTTAGACACACCACGCTCATTCTCTACTGTAGGATCTTTGCGCCTACTGTGCCCTCTGCTGGGGATGCCCCTCCCCAGAGCTTTGCACGAACTCCTTGGTACCCTCTTGGCTCAAATGTCACTTCTCAGCGATGTTTTATCTGATGTGAGGAAATTTGGAATGAGCAAAAAAAGATGAGAGCGCGTCTTCAGTGGAAAACTGCCTTGTTTACAGCACCCCCTTCCCGCTCCCTGTGTTCGTCTTTCGTTGCCTCTGAGCTATTTCATAATGTTGTGAGTTGTAGAGAACCCATGACAAATGCAAATGATTCTTGTCTTTGGACGATGTGCAAATAAATTGCGTCAGGGGTGGTTCAATTGACTTCCATCCCCCTCTGCGGCAGAAGCCAGTTTCGTGTCTGTTTGCAAATTCATTTCAACATTCCTCATCTATAAACGTAGCTCTTCTTTGATTTCTCCTTTGAACTGGTTGTAACATCTGCCTGGTTCCCTCATTAATAATGAGTTAAATAAAATCTTTAACACAGGTTCATTTTTTTTTTTACCTGTACGAGAGTGCTAATGTTTCCTTTTTTGAAAATTATCTTTTAACACTGACGTTCCCCAACCCAAACTCTTTGTATGTCATTGCTCTGTTTTCTTCAGAGCCAGATCATCATCTGAGATTGTCTGTTTATTTCTTTACCTGTTTTTTGGTGGGTCTTTCCCTGTCTTGGTCAGTGCATAGGGTAGGCGCTCAAATGAATGTGATGGACTGAACGAGAGCAGGGAGATCAGCAGCAGCGCTGTTGTCTGCACACAGCTGTGTTCCAACCCTCTTCCCTGCTCCTCCTCTCCTGCAGGGCCATCGTCTCTTTGTGTTCAACCTGTGGTGTTCCCATGGATTCTCCCCTTCAGGTCAAACAAGGACAGGCCAAGCGCTGCACTTGACATTTTTGACAGGTCAATAAATCATGCTTTTGTGGCTTGCATCAGGCTTTGGGTGTTTCCTCACTGAGCAGATTGATAAGCAACCTGGAGATATTGGGTAACTTCGGAAGTGAGAAAGCCTTCTGCAGAAGACTGGGTTTCGGTCTCTCAGCCTCCCGACAGTGAAATGGGTTCTGGGAGGCCAAGTGCTGGAGGCCACGTGGCCGGCTGGTGCCAGCAGGAGGGCTGGGCCTGGGATCCTCCGACTCAGAGTGCAGCACTTGCTTCAATAATGAAAACTGGCACTCGGAGTGTGTGTCCTGTGCCAGGCCTGCCTTCGGGGATTTGTGTCCATTACCTCCTCCTTACAAGAGTGCGACTTGCAGATGAGAAAACCAGGCTCCAAGGGAGGGGATGGCCAGTCTAAGGTCCAGCAGCCACGAGTGGTGGAGCCGGATGTCAGCCCAGGCAGGCGGGCTTGAGTCCCTGCAGTTAGCCACCACCCCAAACAGCAGACCCCAGAGGAGAGCACATACTGCTGAACACTTGTTCCAGGCCAGGCCCTGTGCTGAGGGGTTTACGTGCCTTGCCTCATTTCACCTTCTTGATCCCCAGTGCGGGAGGTGCTGTCACTGTGCTGTGAGGCTCAGGAGTCCCACGACCACTCTCACTTCTGACACCAACTTCAAGGTCAGGGCTCCCCAAGGCCCCCCTTAGGTGCAATAATTCACCAGGAGGACTCATAGAACCTAGAAAAGCCATTATACTCATGGTTATGGTTCATTACAGTGAAAGGATGTGGATTAAGATCAGCCAGGGGAAGAGGTGCGCAGGCAGCATCCAGAAGAGGTCCAGGGGCAAGCTTCCGGTCGTCCTTTCCCAGCGGAGTTGTGCGGACAGTGCTGACCCCTCCCAGCAACGATGTGTGATGACATACAGAGGACTGCCAACCAGGGAAGCTCACCTGAGCCTTGGCATCCAGATTTTTACTTGGGCTCGGTCACACAGGCATGGCTGACCACCTGCGTGGCTAGCCTTGGTCTCCAGCCTCTCCAGAGGTTGAGCTGATAGTGTCCAAGGCCCCCCCACCATAAATCACATCCTGAGCATAGACTGTGCTGTGTGGCTCAAGGCCCCCAGGTAGACAAAGACACTTCTCAGGCAGAACAGTCCACACACTTAGAATTTACCTCCCAGGAGCTGGTGGCAAAGGGCCAAACCTTTCTATGGGCACATGTGCCCATTTTGCAGAAGAGAAAATGGAGTCTTGGAGAGGTTAGATGACTTGCCCCAGGTCGCAAATCTCCATCTGGGATCTGAACCCTGACCGTCCAACTCTGGGGCCCCGTGCTTCTTGTGATCTTCCCGGCAGCTTTCGTTTCACTGTTGAAAGAGAAGTTAACCCAGGAGATAAGATTTTTCCATCTTCCCATTTCTCCAGTTGTCAGATAAGCCAGGTCTAGAGTATATATTTTTTTTTCAATTTTTTTTATTGAGTTATTGATAGGTTACAATCTTGTGAAATTTCAATTGTACATTAATGTTTGTCAGCCATGTTGTAGGTGCACCACTTCACCCTTTGTGCCCAGCCCCCACCCCACCTTTCCCCTGGTATCCACTAAACTGTTCTTGGTCCATAGTTTTAAATTCCTCATATGAGTGGAGTCATACACAGATTATCTTTCTCTCGCTGGCTTATTTCACTTAACATAATTCTCTCAAGGTCAAGTATATTTAATTTAAGATCTTTATCAACTCTAGGCCATTAGGGCTGCCTGGGCAGGGCTGTGTTTGGGGAACTATGTCACATCCAACATGATTCTTCTTGCTGTGGCCAAACTTGACATTGTCATTCCTGTGTGAGTGCAGAAAACTCCAGTGTACTCGCAATGAAAGCATGTGTTTAACACGTATTTATCAGGGCTTTGGGATGTCAGGCACGGGGCAAGGTGTGGGGGTGCCGTGGGGAATGTTAGACACAATTTATGCCTTTTCATGGAGTTCATAATTAATGTGCTGAGGGGGGAAGGGAAACACAAATCACCGGGTCATTACTTCCATTACTGCCTCTCCTGGGCACGCTAGGCTGCAGCCATGGCCATTTGCTGGAGAAGTAGTCAGTGAACACCTACTACGTGCTGGGCCCTGACAATGGAAAGGCCCTGGGAGCAGAGTGTGAACAGGCAGACACGGCCCTTGTCCTGCTCAAGCTCATTTTCACTTGAGTGGAAAACAAGCTTATCCGCACTTGTCTTCACTCAAGTGGGAGAATTATACAGAAATCTTGTGAAGCAGTGGATAATGTAATTTCCAACAGTGATGTGAGCCAGGAAGGAAACAAACACAAGGCCGGGGTGGTCAGAGGGTCTCCCAGAGGAGGTGACATTGAAGCTGAGACCTGCTGGATGAAGAGGAGCCATGTGAAGAATGGGGAACTGTGTTACAGGCAGAGGGAACAGCATGTGCAGAGGCCCTGAGGTGGAGAAAAGACCAGCTTGGCCAGAGTGTGGTGATGGAAGAGGATAGAGAGGTGGGCAGGGTCTTGTGGGCTGTGGAAGTGTTCGGATTTTATTCCAAGGACAGAGGGCAGCTGTTGAAACCCTCTGAGAAGGAACTGACATGATCTCATTTACACTTTAAGATCCTTCTTGATGCCATGTGGAGAGTGGATTAGGGGTGGCATGAGCAGAAGTAGGGGTGGGTTGTCACCAGGACACTGCATGCTGCCTCTCACCTCTGGCCTGTGCAGAGGCTGTGCCCTCCACTGGGGGTCCTCAGCTGAGCTGCAAAGCTCCAAAGATGTCCTGGTTTGCCCCTCATCCACTTTTATGAGTCACGTGACTTATGTGCAAGTTCCTACCTGGGCGTTTTCACATCTTTTAAACTGCACACGGCTATCACATGTCTGTGCTGTGTAGATTCAGCCTAGAGCCCCCATTTTCTCCACCAACTCTCCCACACGGTAGGAAGCTTGTCCACAGTGATGACCCTGAGGCCGGCCAGGGGTCAGATGTGCCTCGAGCAGCAGCAGAGAAACATGACATGGGCTTTGGTATTGATTCACGGTTGTGGGCGTCCTAACGTTTATTCGATTTCTCTGACACTCTAATTTGTTTGACTATGTGATGAGCTGGAAAATGATGGTTGGGATGTTTAGTCACCTGATCCTGTTGCTCTGTGACAATGGACAAGTCCTTGCAGCTCTGGGTGATAGTAATTGTCATAAGACCTGTCATCTTTAGGCACCACTCTCTGTGATGAGCACCCTGTAAAGACCACTGTCGGCATTAACTCATTCAAGTCTCACATCCACCCTATGAAGTCCTGTCATCACCATCGTCGCCATCATTACCATCATCATCATCATCATCTCCATCATCATCATCACCGTAGTCACCACCATTGTCATCATACAATCAATTCACAGGAAGAAATTGAAACTAAGCAAGTGGTACACACACACACACACACACACACACACATATAAAACCGAGGTGGGATTCAAACCCCTGGACCAGCTGCATCGGCATCACCTGGGAGCCTGTTAGAATTGCTGAATCTCAAGTCCCCCCTTGGACCTACTGAATCTGAATCTGTAATTTAAAAAGACCCCCAGGTGATTTGTAGGCACACTCAAGTTTGAGAAGCCCCACCCTAAGACATTTATCCTCTGACCTTCTGTGAACTGTGACCTCTGCGTGGAGTAAAGGGTCCCTCTTGGTTGTGACAATATGACTCCTATGTGCCCCTTCCTAACCGTTCCATTGAAGTCCTTCCTTCCTTCTCAGAAGCATCTTCTTGTTCGACAGGTGAGGTCAAGTGCTTCTCAGACTGCGTGGCTCTGTGGATCCCCAGGAGCCACGTGGAGGGTTTGAGGCATTGACTGAGCAGAATCCTGCACTTGCCAGGTAAGGAACAGTCGTTGGCTGGGTTGGGCCATCGCCTATAGTGATGCCTGTATGTACACCTCACCCCCAGGGCCTTTGCACTGCCTTTCCCCTGCCTACAATGCTCCTCCCCCATTTCTCATGGCTGGTTCCTTCCTGTCACTCAAATCTCTGCGCAAAGACTACCTCCTCCAGAAGCCTTCCGGATGCTCCGTCTAAAGCAGTCCTCGCCCACCCCATCACAGTCTCTTCCTGTTGGCTTCTCAGTACTCTTCACTAGTTAAAATGAGCTACGATTGTTCACCTGCTTGTCACCTGTGCTCCCCCCACAGCAGGTAGCTCCATGAGGGCAAAGTCCCCGGGTTTCTGGTTTATTGCTATATCTCCAGAACCAAGAACACTGCCTGGTGCTCAGTAGATGCTCAATAAATATTTGTTCAAATGAGCAGACAGCCTGAGACCCCAGAATAAGTGCCCATGTGGCGCCAAGATGCTCCCAAATCTGCATCACCCAGGAAAGTAAATGGATGGGGGTGAAAGGGGCGAGCCTCACCACCTGAAGTGGGAACCGAGCCGTGCCTGGGGGGATTGTGTGCCTAAGATAGCAAAAAACGGGGGCGTGGTAGCCCAGAAAACTTTGAGCCGTGGGCTTGCCGGCAGAAAAAGTGGGAAGGGGCGGGTACCACCAGGTGATTACTGGGAACCTTCTGGAAGGAAGAAGAGTAGAGAGATGTGCACATTGCCGGCTTCTCTCTGTGCTCTCCGTCGTGGACCTTGCAGAACAAGCCCTTAGAATTCCTCTTCTCCTTTGCACAGAAAGAGAGAAATTGAGGAGCGGGGCTCTCAGATGTCTCTCAGGGACTCTGAAGACCTCCCAGGGCCCCTGTTCATTCTGGAAATCCTTAAAGCACCTTCTGGGACTGGTGGAACCTGAATCTGCCCTGGGCGGGTTAGCCGCGGCCGGCCGACCAGCCAGCCCGCGATGCCTTGGGAGCGGCATTTATGTATTAAAAAGGCCACTTTTCGAGGAGAAATGCTGTGGATACATTAAGCTGTCGCCTGTTCTTTGGAGAGCCATTATTAATGGAAAACAATAGATTAATAGTTTTAAAACGCTTGTTCAATAAGTAATTTTTATGGCTCTGGATAGAGCCCATTAAACATTTCTGTGTGTTATTATAAAGAAGTTTTAAGCGTAAAATCATAAAGTCAATAATCAGAGAATTAGTCACAGCGGCCAGCCACAGGCCATTAGTTTTAGGCGCTGTCAGACACCTGTGGCTTTCGCGGGAGAGTTTTCTTCCCTGGCAGCGGCGTTCGCTCGCAGCGCCAGGTGGGGATGGAGAAATGACGGTGCCTGCCGCTCTCCATAAACCTGAGGGGACAGCAAGCAGGTGCGAGCCGCGGGGAGCCAGGCAAATATTTACAAAGTGCAGACGTGAATGCAAAACTAAAACGACCCGGGTCAATTTGCACATCCAGGCTCCAACACTTTATTTCCCCAGCGAGCTCGCACCTTTCAGAGCCTCCATCCGCCAGAGGCACGGCCTGATCTCTCACTAAAGATATAGGCAGGAGCCGCGTGCTTTTAAAAGGGAAGCGTGTCACCAGAGAATCCCCCCAGAAAGGCTTCCAGGGCTTGTTTCTGAAATAGCAGATTCATCTCCCATCAAATACACAATGGAGTGAAGAATTTGAAAACGAAACTGTGAGCTTTTAAAATTTTTTTTAATTAAAAAAATTTTTTTTTGAGGAAGATCAGTCCTGAGCTAACATCTGCTGCCAATCCTCCTCTTTTTGCCGAGGAAGACTGGCCCTGAGCTAACATCCGTGCCGTCTTCTTCTGCTTTATATGTGGGACGCCTACCACAGCATGGCTTGCCCAGCAGTGCCACGTCCACACCCGGGATCCGAAGCGATGAACCTTGGGCCGCTGAAGCAGAACATGCGCACTTAACCGCTATGCCACCAGGCCAGCCCCTAAACTGCGAGCTTTGAAAAATGATTTTTTGAAAAAATCATGACAAACACAGTACAAGGGAATTATGGAAACTAGAGAACATCCAAAGAAGATAAAAACTACCCATAATCTCTTGACCCGGACTCATTCAACAAATATTTACTGAGAGCCCCTCTATACGCCTGTCACTTCTCAAGGCACTCCAGATGCTGTGATGAACAAAATGGGGAAATAGTCTGGCCCCAGGGAATTGACATTGTGTGGGGGAAGACAAGCCATAACTACAATAAATAGGGAATCAGATAGCAGGTGAAAAGGGAGTAAGTGCTACAGAAAGAAGAAGCAGAGGAAGAATAAAGGCAATAGAGGGAGGGGTCATTGAGAAGGTGAACCCCTGCAAAGACTTGAAGGAGGTGGGGAGGGAACCCTGTAGGAATCTAAGAGAAGGGAGTTCCGGGCAGAGGGCACAGCCAGTGCAAAGGCACTGAGGCAGGTGTGTGCGTGGCATGCCTGAGAAGTCATAGGGAGGCCGGTGTGGCTGGAGCAGAGGGAGGGAGGTGAGGAAGTAGGAGAGGAGGTCAGGGAGGTGAGGGGCAAAATGATGTGAGGCCTTCCAGGACTTTTCCTTGGAGAGAAGTGAGGAGGTTTGAGCAGAGGAGGGACGTGATCTGACCTACTTTTGAACAGGATCCTGCTGGCTGCTGCGTGGATTGCAGACGATGAGGGGTGAGGGAGGAAGCCAAGGGACAAGAGAGGAGGCAGCTGCAGAAACCCAGGCCAGGGACCAGAGTGGGGAGAAGGGGCAGGATTCCAGATATCTTCGGAAGGCAGAGCCAGTGGGATTTGCCGTGGTGCACCTTCCCAGGCCTTTCCCATCACTGCTCTTTACCTGCTGCAGGCAGAGCAGCCCTCCCGTTGCTACCTTGGTGCCTGAGATTTCTGTCCTCCGCAGGCTCCACCCTCGTTTCTGTCCTTTTCTCATTCTAGGGGCCTGGAGGAACCCCACCCACCTGGATCCTTTGCCAAATGGGCAGCTTCCCGCATCCTGATCCCAATGGTGACTATTTTTCCAGCCTGATACTCGAAAATTGAGTATGGAAATATGTCCTGTACGGACACCTGATGCACCTTGTGCCTCTTCCGTTCTGGGAGACCAAAGGAGCTAACCTCAGTGCAGGTGTCAAGAAAGGGGACACTGCACGTTATTCCTCTGTAGAAGCGGAGCTGAGAGAGTCAGAGGAGAGGGGTGAGGCCCAGGCTCTGCCCTCTTGGGGTTTACAGGCATGGATCTCAAAAGACCACTGGGTATGTTAACCCAGCTCAGATGCTGCCTGCTCCAGGCAGCCTTCCTGATTGTTGATCTCCTCCTCTGTGCCTTGTACCTGCTTCTATCATTGCACCCGCGACCCTGATTAATAAGGGATCTGCTCACACAGCTGTCTCCTACCAAATCTGGAGTGTCTTTGGTGGGGGTGGCAGAGTGGGGCACGCAGTGTTTGCCTTAGGGCCTGGCACACAGTAGGTGCTTTGTAAGTGCTTCCTGAAGGCAATAATTGGTGCTGCTGGATTCGCAGAGGCTGATTGACCTCAGAGCTGATGGAGCATAAGCTTCAGGGCGCTGGCCCTTTACGTGCTCACAAGACCATGTGACTCTGTACAATTTGTAAAGTAAGATATTCGTGTATTCTTTTTCTTAGAGAGGGCCTCTCCCAAATTGCATGAGCTTCAGGCCCCACACAGGACCTCGCCGAGGGAAGGCTCAGAGAAGCGGGTTTTGGATCTGGGGTTCGAGAGGTGGGCTTATACCAGTCAAGGGGGAGCTGACGCTTCTTTGGGGGCCAGGAGGACAAGGAGCCACCCGGATTTAGGCCGCGGCTGATGGCCTGGGGCCAGAGGGTTGCAGCTCCTGGGCACTTCTGCTACCTTCATTCCACTGCCTGGCCCCTGAGAGGGGGCGAACTGCCCCACAGACCCCTCATGTTTTCCTCACTTGCATTTCCTCTGTCCTTCATTTCTTTGTCCTGCTGTCCTTGACCAAGCCTGGGGTTTCTCCCGAGGGGGTTGTGGTCCATATTAGGGGAAGAAATTTCAGGAACCATCCTGTTCCTTCTCTTTCTCTTTCTTTCCGCAATCACCATCCTCTTTGACGCCCCCCATCCCCACCCCATCAACACTTCGGCTTCGTCATTTCCCTTCTCTGAGCCTCAACAGCCTCGTCTGTAAAATGGGCATAAAAGCCCACCTTGTGAGGCATTTGTGAGGGTCGAAGGGGGCAGGTGTGAGGAAATGTTTGTCACCTGTCAAGGGACGTTCAGGCACGAGCTCTTGTTCTGACAACCAGGTTTGACCTTCCTGAAATCCACAAACGTCCCCCAGCGCTGAGGGCCTTCCTGGTGGGGCTGACCTGCAGGAGCCTGGAAGCCAGACCCGGGTTCAGAGTCCCTGTGACCTCCATCTCACTTCCCAGCCCTCTTTCCAGAGACCTGCCCGGCTTCCAGTCGGTTGACGTTAATCATATTTGCTGTGAATAGTCACTGACCTATAATTGCAGCCTATTAACTCTGTTTTCCCCTTTCATTTGCACACATGAATTTTACCCTACTTCCAAAAGCAAATTACAGGTTGGAAATCAGAATATATCAAAGAGGGGTGAAAAGGTTGGAGCAGGGTGACCGCTGTATAATGAAGTGTCCAGTGATAACATCCAGGCTGGGCCAAGAGAGCATCCACTTTGGGCCTGTGTTCATTCAGGTGCCTGGGGGGTGCAGGGGGACATCTCAGGCTGGGCTTCTCTCCAGAGACCATGGCTTCTGAGCCTCAAGACGTGGCTGGGCAGAGAGGTGGCAGTGGAGGTATAACGTAGTGTGATTCTCCCACAGACATTCGTGGGCATTGGCTGGGTGCCCGGTTCCACTGCGCTTTTTTGTCTGAGCAAATTGGGAGGAGGGAAGAGGTAGAGCTGGGAGTATGAAAGGCTCTGAACTAATGTTCTCGACTTCCCCTTGCAGCTGGCATGTGGGACAGTGGGAAGGACTGGGGTTATCACAAAAGCTGCGTTCTTTCTATCTGGATGGAAAAAGTTGCTAGTTTAATGCTCCTCCTTGACGGGGTAATGTCAAAGGATTATAGACTTCTAGCCCTAAAAGGACCTCAGATACAAGCAGGTGTGATGTCTCCATTTTAAAGATCAGGAAATGGAGGTTTCTTCCAAAGAGAGCTCCTCCGCTGCCTTGTGGGCTCCTTGAAGGCAGGTTTCTCTCTAGTCCTGCGGGAGCCTCTGTGAGCTAAAGAAAATTTGGATGGGTGGGTGGGGTTACAAATACAAATACCTACGGGGGCCAAACCTGCAGCAGAAACGAGTGTGCCAGACTGAGGAGGCAGTAAAGAATTGTACTCATGTCTTCATTTATTTAGCAAATACTTGTACGTCACTCGCTCTGTGCAGGCACTGTTGTAACTGCTTTACGAGTATTAACTCATTTCATGGTCATAGTGGTCCTGTGCAGTGGGTGCCATGGTCATCCCCATCCTACAGATGAGAGAACTAAGCAGAGAGAGACTAGGGGGTCTGCCCGAGGGCCCTCAGCTGCTAAGTGGCAGAACCAGGCTGCGAACCGGGCAGAGTGGCAGGAGCCATGGCGAGTTGGAGCCAGCACAGCCTCCAGCCCAGGCCCCCGCAGAGGGGCAGCCTCCGCTCCACCACAGCCCCACGTGGCCAGATCCTCCAACTTTTCAAGAGATACTGGAAATCCACAATTGTACGTGAAATTTTAAAAAGTTGACTTTAATTTTGTAAGCATTGTGTGGCTCAAAGAAAATGCTGTTTGGCCTGGGGGGTGCCAGTGTGTGACCCCTGCCAGAGAGGACGAGGAAGATGGGACCGAGGAGGAAACAGGAGGGAGGGGAAGGGAGAGAACAGAAAAGGAAGAGTGAAAGGAGGAGTTTGGAGCAAACTTATGATAATCACCATTCATTCAACAAGCATTTATTAAGCACCTACTATATGCCAGGTGCTGTGCTGGTGCTAAGAAAACAGATTTGAATGAGATGTGGACCGTTGCCCCCGGAAGAGCTTATAGCTGTGTTCTCATCTGGTCTGAATTTTAAGATGAGAGAGCTGAGGCAGAAAGAGTCCCCCCACCATGGCTCAGAAGGCCTGTGCTCTTCCAGCTCTGAGCCCGGCTCACTGCCACCTTGGGCAGATCGGCCGACCCCTCGGATATGGCTTTGCTTCTTAAGGGGCAGGGGCCGAGTGGGCACGGCTTTCTCCGCCCACTTGCCTTTGCAGTGGCACAAGTGGCCACACCAAGCCTGGTGTTGGCCCTCCTAAGAATCACAGGGACCTACCCCAGCATCCCCAAGCACTGACACCAGGTACTTTGACATTCCAGCTGGTAGCTTCTCCCTCTGCACTGGGCCTGTAATTCTGGAAGCTGCCGCCAGGGGGACGGTGTTGTCAGTATTACCTGACACTGGGGCGAGTTGCTTAGAAAAGCAGGACCTGCTCCAGCCCAGGCTCCTGCTTTGTCTCCGATGACCTGCCTTTGAAGCCTGGAAGTCCAGCATTCTTCACCAAACGAAGTGTGGGAGCCTGCGGTGGCCCCACATCCTGGAACACAGAGGCAGAGAGGTGGGCAACATGCACAGGGCAGAAGACAGGTCTCGGCTGCTCCAGCCCCCTCCCCGTTCCCTCCTTCCCCCACCTGAGAACCTCATCGAATTGACTGATTCATTCCTGGTGACTTCTGCAGCCGCTGCTTCCGTGTCTGCACCTTGAACTTGCATTAAGTTTTAATTAAAGCCGTTTCACCGGCCTTGCCCTTGGCTAAATGCAGCTGTGGGCACAGGGCACATAGATATTTAATACTCTTGCCTCTCCCTGCTGAAGGCACAGGGTGCCCAAGGGTGTACCCGAGCCCTGCCCGCTTGCAGCGATCCGCGAGCTCGCTTAAGTGTGCCCACAGGCCCTGAGCGGGAGGCCGCACAATAACTATTCATTGCCCTGGGTTAAGTGTGCCCAGGGGCACCTGTAAACTCAATGCAGTGATTAGCGATGGCTCCCAGTGAAGGCTGCCCGAGGTCCTGCTGAATGTCCTCAGCCCTAAATATAGCCTCCGCGTGCGGCCTTAAAGGGCACGGTGCGTTTTTGGCTGCACACTTGGTCACATCTTCTCTTCCTTCTTTAAGCAGAATTGTTCCCTCCGTCTTAAAGCCCAGCCTCTGGGGGCTTCCCTGCCTTCCTCCAGGTTGCAGGGGAGGGACAGGTGTGGGAACAGGGGGACAGCTTTGGTGGTGGCAAAGGGAAATGCTGAGTCCTCTTTATCCTCTCCCCAAACCTCAGGCATCTGCCCTGTTCTTTCCTCTTCACTCCCCAAGTGAAGGCAGCACCTCCAAAGACAAGGAAAGAGTGGGGCTCAGTCGAAGGGCTCCCCAAAGGCTGTCCTGAGCGTGCTGCCAGTGGGGGCTCTCGGGGCCAAAGGGCAGCAGAGCTGGGGAACTGAGACTGTTCCCCAGAAGCTGAGCCGGCTCACTTCTTTCTCCTCCTGGGAGCCCCTCTCTGTCCGTATGGAGGAGTGGGGGGCGTGGGCTTGGGCAGGGGGTTATTGTCAAGGTGAGTCTGTCCCTTCTGGCCTCAGTCTCCTCACCTTGTACAGGGGTGGGGGTTGGTCAGATGATCTCTGAGGGCCTTTGACGAGGGCTCTCCGAGGGTCCTTCTGCTGGTCTGTGATGCCCTCCTTGTGCCGAGACCTCCTTGCCCAGGTCTGGAGCAGATGCGAAGCGGGTTTTGGAGAAAGCAGAAAGAATTGAGAGAACAGCTGGGTGGAGGGTTGGCTGCTGCAGGAGCCTCAGGGAAGCTTCTCGCCCACCCCCCCCATCACCTTCCCCCTCATCTGTGAAACGGGGAGAATGGTGCCCCCCACGGGCTGCGAGGCTCAAGTGCAGTACGGTGGCCAACTGTCCTGGTTTGCCTGGGACTGGCCCGGTTTTGTCACTGAAAGTCCTGCATCGGGGCACCCCCTCAGTCCCTGGTAACCTGGGGTGAGTGGTCACTGTAAGTATGATGCCATTGGTGAGCGTGCCCGGCCCACAGAAGTGCTCTCTCTACCTTTGCTTGTTGGATCTAGAAAGGAAAGGAAAAAGGCAAGGGAGAAATGGGTGAACTAGGGAGAAAGACAAGATGGGAGGATCCGGGAGGACAACTCTGATGGGACATGTGTCCTGCACACCCGCTCTCTGCCTCGCCAGCTGTGCCCAGGACCCCAGCTGCCCCCTTGGCCGGGCCCAGGGCGACAGCTGAGGCAACGACGTTTCCCTGGGTCTGTTGACACTCGAGTCCCAGAACATAAATGATTTTCTTGTCTTAATGAGCAAACAACCCGGCCTGCACCGCTCTCTCGCTGGCCTCCTGCTGGGTAATTGCCGGTGCTTCTGCGCTCAGGCAGAAATGTTTACTTACTCACCTTTGCTTACCGCTTGCCAGGAGACGTTGCTTCCTCTTTGTTCTTCAGTTCTGCCTGCCCCTGCCCCTGCCCCTGGGAAGCACCAGAGAACAGGTAGGTGAGGCAGGAGCAACTTTCTGGAAGGTTCTGCCAGGCCTGTGCTCTGGGACACTCCAAGGCAGGAGGTTTTGACTTCTCTTCTCCTCTGGAGAGTGTTGGTAGACAAGAGCCAAGCCTTCTGGGCCCGTGTCTTGGCAGCCGAAGCTGGAAGCTTCCCCGGTGCCCCAGGCAGAGACCTGAGGCCGTCCCAGAGGGAAACTGAGGAAGAGTCCTCGGCTTTGGGTGGGAGGCTGGCAGGAGGCCTTCCCATGCTAAGATTCCCTCCTCGAAGTCTCCAGTGACGGGGACCTCATTCCTTTGCAAGGCCACCTTCCCATATTGCACAGCTGTTTACCCAAACTTTCCTTCTACCCGTCCTAGGTGGTTCTCAGCAGCCTCCCGGAAGAAGCTGGTCCCTTTTCCATTTCACATCCCTTTGAAAATTTGAAGTCAGTGAGTTTTCCCTTTCTCAAGTTTCCTGAATTCCTCCTGCTAGTCCTCCTAGGATACAAGCCAGGGACTCCTGCCTGTCCTCTTGCCACCATCCAGACACCCACCTTTATTCAAGGCCCGATTGCCAACGTCCCACTGAAGTTCTGCGGATGGAATCAAGGATAGGATTCCAGTTGCACCTGGCCTGGGCGGAGAGTGGGTTGCCTGGCTGGCATTGCTAGTAGGTAACAGTGCCTTTATTCTTTCAGCTACGTGGTATGTACCTACTATGTGCCAAGCGCTCCTGCGAGGGGTCTGCTCCCCTAAAGAATAAGGGGCGCAAGTGCCCAGCTTGCCTTCTTCCCTGAGTGACCTGCTGCCCTGCCTCCTGGTCCTGCCCATCTGCCCCTTGGCCGTGTCATCTTCCTGAGTGTCCCCTCAAGTGCACCTTCTCTTTGATCTCCTAGTGACCGTTTCTCCTGGGCCAGACTGTTTATTATGAATGTGTCCTGTTTCTCCAGACCCTGTGGCTGCTGTCCCTTCGAGGGGAGCTGGTGGCTTCTCTGCAAGATGCCAGCCTGATGGGACTGCATGTGGACATCAACACCGTCACTATCACCATCCCAAATCCAAGGCAAGACCTTCTTCAGAGGCGGGGGTCAGTGGTGGGCAGCAGCCCTGCCAGGATGGGGGGGGGGGGTCTCTAGGCATAGCACCCTCAGAGCTGCTCTTGGGAGTGGCTACGAGGCCCCGAAGAGCAGTTTGCCAACCTTCCAGTGCCAGTTCAAGTGTCCGCCTGCAAGACCGGACAGATTTAGGCAGGCGGCTTTGAAAATTGGGCTCCATTAGCGTAAAGTGCTCCACGCAGCCGACAAGCGGCTCCTGCAATCACGCATTCAGCTCGTCCTGATCCTGATCGTGGTGGCAGGAGCGTAATTACCATCTCTTTAAATAGCCCAAAGTTGCCGTGTAAGAGAAGACGGCTCACATGACATTTGCTCCGAGCTTGCTTCCTGCTAAAAATATCCCGGCTAAATAATATTTCCTCGTTGCATTGGAGCAACAGCCCTGACCTGGGCGCTGTGACACTTGGGGGTTTAGTCCAGTCTGAAGGAGGGAGGGGGCCCCCGTGGAGGGAGTTGCTTCCGGAAGGAGCAGTTTCAGAGGCCACGGGGGGACACTCCAGCCTCGCCCTGCTGCTGAGCACACACGCGGAGCTCCTTCCACTCTGGCTGGTGAGTGGCTACTCTGCCTGTTCCTTGGAAGCTGCGTGCCACCGCGTAGGACCCAGGGGGGCCCCTAATGTCCACCCTTTCTGGCTTCATCTCTCTCTCGTCCCTTCTGTGTTCCTCCCTCCTCTGGGCACCTTATCCCCCTGGTCCCACACCATCTCTCCTCATCTAGCCCCAACCTTGGCCTTGCATTCCTGAATTGCTTGAGGCAATGAGACCTTTGCTCTTTCTGAAGGGAGAGTATGTGTGGAGTACGGACCGGGTACAGAATGTGAATGAAAATTAGAGTCATCTCCCAGAGGCCTCCAAACCCGGGGTCTTCAGACTCCTGCACGTTCCCCAGATGCTCTGAGAGCAAAGACGGGAGAGTCTGCAGCCTTCACCAGGCTCTCCACGGCTTCCTGGTCTGACAGTGGTGGGGACCGCTGATCTAGACTCTGTATATGAGAACTATTTTGTTCAGCGTGGGGTGTGATACAGGGAGGCCCGGAATCTGGAAATCCACTTCCTACCTCCAGGGAATTTAAATTCGAAGGAAATCTGTATGCAAAGTTAGGTGGATCAAAGCTTCATCCTGTGTGGGTAGATCAGACTAAGACTTTACATTTGTGTAGAATTTTATCATGGACCAAATTCTATGATGGGGCTATGGTGAGTTTAGGGCGTTGGGGATGGCCTTGCCAAGGCCCCCAACGTCTCTTCCCTTATTCTCGATGCTTGAAATCTCTTTATTCAGAGACAGATGCTTTCATTTAGCAACTGCAGCACTGGCTTAAAATGCCCCTGTGAGAGGGCTGACACAACGAAATTCTTGCTAAAGTGTAAACAACTGATATGAGCTTTATTTCTTAAGAGCAGCTTTGGTAATGGGCGGGGCACCAGGCGAGGTCACGGAAGCTGAAGACAATCTTGCCAGAGACATTTCACAGCTTCCCAGGGGCAGCCCTGCTCCTGGCAATTCCTCCATAGATGGCAGGATCCCCCAGGGTTTGGGGATGGCTTTTTTCTTCTCTTTTCATCAGTGCAGCCAAGTTCCAACTCAGGCAGTGATACCAAACACCACATAGTCTCACGTCACTGATTTGGAAAGTGTGCTGTGCCGGCCATGGGCGTGGCCCCTGGCTAAGGTCCTGCCACCACCCTTTTGTCCACATACCTGAGAAGTGTGTATTTTCCTGGGTCACATGCCCTTCCCCCTTCCAGTGTCGTCCCAGCCAGAGTCGGAGGTCTTCGTTCACCTCCCCAAGCAGAGATGGGATCTGGTCAAAAGCGGGTCCCACTTGGAGGAAAGCCTGAGCCTAAAATTCCTTTGGGTCCACCAGTCCAGCATCTTCACGGTGACTGAAAACAGGGGCTCTGTGGTGGTCGATGTCCCAGTGGAGGCATTGGCTATGCTGCCGCTTCTGGAGGCCCCTTCTCCTTCAGGCCGCTGATGCCATGTGGAGTCAGAGAAGTGAAGAGCAGAACGGTGGGGCGGCTGAAAACGGACCTTTGCCACTGACGCCCCTGCGGCCTGGCACTGTTGACAGGGTAGCCCCATGGGACGACAGCCATCAGGCACAGGATGCACCCTGCCATGTGCACCAAATCCTCGCTGCCCCACAGCCATGCCAGGAGGCCCGAGGAGCCCCAGGAATGCAGGCTCTCTTTAGGGTGGCCCAGAGCCTGGAATTTACCAAAATGGCAGTCCCCACCGTCCTCTTCTTCCAGTGGCGGGTGAGTGAGTCACCATGAGGGTGTGCCTGCTGGTAACAGGCACATGCCACACGAACCCTCTTTCCCTGGCCTTGTGGTTCTTTTTCCTGTGACAAGGCTTCCCTTTCTGGCCCTGACGGGTCCCACACCCAACCGCATAAGCGTTGGTGTCAGGCATACCGGCTGGAACTGGCACAGGAACAGGAGTGGCCTGGGAGATAAGTGGGAACTCAGCCACTGGCTCTGGAGTCAAACTGCCAGGGGAGGGACCGCCCGGGACTGAGGGCACATCAGCTTCCTAGCTAGCCGCAGGACCTTGACGAGTCACTTAACCCGCCGAGCCTCAGTTTTTTCCTCTGCAAAATGGGAATACTGATACCTGTGGAGAGGACTGGCGATGACGGCAATTAGATAGCAGCGTCCACGGCACGAGATGAGCCCCTTCCGTGTTGATCCGCCCAGCTCTCTGTGTGGCCTCCAGTTCTCGGGTCCCTTACTAGACGGCTTAGGCTCCTTGGCAAAGAGTACCACACGACGCAACTTACTTCTTAACCCAAGGCAAACCCTCTTCTAAACGTGGTGTGTGTCCTCCATGCCAGGATGCTGGGTTTCCAGTCTTGAAAGGGGTTTTCAGTGAAAGCCCGGCTACCAGACAACGCGGTATTCGCAAAACCACCAGGAGCAAAACCCCTTGAAATACAGCGTAAGGAAATACACATAATTCACAAATGATGTCGATCACTTTCATCTTAGACTTCCTAACTGTCCTCAATAGAAGACAGACGCGAAGGAGATTTAACTCAGATGTTAACAGTGCAGGAATGCCCCGCTACCAGGATATGATGTTTCGGTGCCGCATAAAAATGTAATTATAGTCAGAACTATATTTAAAGATTAAAAGGGGGGACTGCCTACCACATCTAGCCCCAAATTCAGAATTAGCAACAAAGGAAAAAGGCAGGATGGGGGATGAGTTCTAACAGTCTGCTAAAAATGGAAATGTTTTTGAAAGTTTTTACACATTTCGGCTGTTTTATTTTAACGGTTTCCTGCAGTGATGACATTGATTTTGGAAAGGGAGGGCTAGAACTTTATCCAACAAATATTCACTTAGCACTTGCTGAGTGGGAGGCTCTGAGGGAGGCTCGGGAGGGACCAGAGGCTACCAGATTCGGTCCTTGCTCTCGAGCACCGTCCCGTCTGGAAGGGGAGAGAAGGATGTCCAGAGACTGATAATGGAGGGTAGGAGGGCTCAGGGGAGATGCCGAGGAGCAGGTGGCTTTTGTTCTGGGCTTTGAAGAGAGGGAAGGTCCCTGATAGGGGCATAGTAAATGAAATACAAAAATAGCTCAGCAATAGCAGTAAGAACATCGTAGGAAGACTTTCTGGCCTCTCTGGGAAGATTTACATGGGGAAAGAATGTTCTCTTTCTCGTTTTATTAATTTCACATCAGCAGTGGAATGAATCTCTTCCCTCCCCGGTTCCCAGCACACCTTCCCTGCATCACCCCCTGCAGCTTCTAGGTCTTTCTATTCTTATTATAGTTCTTGGCTCACGCCCCTGTCTCTCCCTCTAGCCTGTGAATTCCTTGCGATCAGGGTCTGTGTCCTGTTCAGCATTTTATTCTTCATGGGCTTTATCATACTGCCTTGCCCTTGGTAAGCACTTCATAAATGCCCATTGGACTGAATTTTCACTAGGAATTTTTTTAAAATGTTTGAAATGACAAAGAACATGTCTCTGTGTAAATACGTGACTAATATGCCGGGACATTAATGCACCAGGATTGCCTAAGCACTTGGTGGTTACAGATTATTTTTTTAAATCTCCTCCTTCCTCTCCAAAAAATCCTTAGATCCTTTAGGAGGAATCCTAATTATTTAAGATTGGAGATGTCAAGAATAGTGGAGGCAATGGAGTGTCCAGAAACCAAGAGGTTTAACATAAGCATTTCAATTTTTTTTTTTTTTTAAGATTGGCACCTGAGCTAATAACTGTTGCCAATCTTTTTTTTTCCTTTTCTGCTTTTTCTTCCCAAGCCCCCCCAGTATATAGTTGTATATTTTTTTAGTTGTGGGTCTTTCTAGTTGTGGCATGTGGGACACCACGTCACCGTGGCCTGATGAGCTGTGCCACATCTGCACCCAGGATCCGAACCAGTGAAACCCTGGGCCGCCAAAGTGAAGTGTGCAAACTTAACCACTTGGCCACGGGGCTGGCCCCTGTTTCACATTTTAAAGCAAGAGTTGCTGATGAAAATGCATCTTGGGGTCAGGCAAGGAGTGTATGTGAAGGAAGGGGAAAACACCCCTTGCCCCAAGTATAGAATGATAAAGGCCGTGAAGCTCAGTGTAGGAGATGATAGGGAGTGGTGGAGACTCTGGTGAATTGGCAGCCATCAGACCTCTTTAAAGAGACCCCCTAGCTCGCTTAGCCAGAACTAATTCCTGCCTTGTAAAGAGGCAGGCCAGCGTGGCCAAATCCTCTGATTTTCCAGGAGAAGTTGGTTATAAAATTTTGTCAGTTAATTTAAAAAATATTTAAAACTCTCTGAAGGCCAAACTAAACATGTCTAAGAGCTGTATTTAAGTCATGAACCGGAATTTGCCAGCTCTAACCTAGCGGTCCTCAACCGGGAGCATATTTTTGCTTCCCAGGGGACATTTAGCAACGTCTGGAGACGGTTTTGATTGTCACAACTCAGGAGGATGCTACTGGCATCTGGTGGGTACAGGCCAGGGGTGCTGCTAAACATCTGACAGTGCCCAGGAGCCCTCTCCCACACACGACAAAGAATGATCTGGCCCAGAATGTCACCAGTGTCAAGGGCGAGACTGGTTCTGTGTGCTTCCTGGCGCTGGGCTGACGTATTTGGCCTCAAAATAGGGAATGGCTCAAAGCTGAAACCAGCCAGGAGTCAGGCCCAGGCACTCTTTAAAGAAAACCTGAAAATCTGTGATTCAATTTCAGAAACAGATTTTGGTGCCCACATATTCTCAAAAAGGACCCCAGGTCAAAGGTCTGTGAAATTCGGCCAATGAAGACAGTTCCCTGCCCAGGGCATGCACGGCCCCTCCAACAGGGTGTCAGAGGATTGTGCTTCTTTAGGAGCAGAGCTGACCTCTGCTTCCTTTCTCGAAGGTTCGGGAAGGGAGTTGCCTGCCTCAGTGGCTATGCCGAGGACCATTCCATCCCACCATCCCCAGGACCAGAGACCCCTCCAGCAGGATGCCATCTGCTGCCTCTTCCCAGTTCCAGGCTGCAGGATCAGCTGCCTCGGGAGCCTCCGGGAAGGGCTTTCTCAGAGCTGCGCTCACCAGCCTTTCGATGGGCTGGCCAATGCAAGTCCGCCTGTGGTTTCCTCTGAAGGGCCCATCCCAAGAGGCCTTGGAGGACGCTCTCTCTTACCCCCATTCTTCCAGAGGGAGCCCCGCTCTGACCTCTGGCCATGTCTCCTCCTCCTCCAATTCAGAACACTCCCCAGAGAAAGCTGGGGCCCCCCAGAGCTCCTATCTGAGGGCAGCCCCCCTGCCAGCTGTCCTGCATGGCTCACAGCCTCCCAGAGCCTTGAGACTCAGCAAAAGGAGGCAGCAGGGAGAGTCAGTGGCTATGCACACAAACGGAGAGTAGGAAACTGAGGCATGCCTCAAAGGACTTGTGGCTGGAGCCCGGGGGCCAGCCTGGAGAACCAGCTGGAGGTCACAGCTCCCACAGGCCCTTCTCTGGGCTGCCATCCTCAGGGCAGCTGAAACCCGCATCCTCCTATTTCTGATGCTTTTTCTCTCTCCACTCCTCTCTCCCTGAAGACGGAGTTTGGGCCATTCCTGCAAACAGCCAAACCTCTGGAAGAAGCAGGGAAGCTACCATCTCCCTTTTCCCAGAGCAATGCAGGATCAGCGTGGTCCCCAGGTTCCCCGGGGGGAAGCGGGGTTACCTAGACACCTCTCCTTCAGCTGCACTGTCCTCAGAGTCCTAGGAGTTGTCGAGGCTAGCCCTGGGTTCCCGCCAGTCATCCCTGCCCCCATGGTCCTCACTGTGCATTTGTCCTCAGATGTCTCATCTCCTCCACCGCCTCTCTGGGGTCTGAACAGTCCACAGCACTCCTGGTCTCAGGGTCCTCTGTCACCCTAACTGACCGTTTAGGAACTATAAGGCCCGAGCAGGACCCCGCCCAGCCACCAGGAAGTCCCCTCCAGCTGGGAGGGCTGTCAGTGGGCTGTGACTGCAACCGAGTCCACGCAGGGGGCCAGGCCAGGCCGGCAAGGAGGTCCTGCCTTTGACAAGGCCCTCGCTGACCACCCTGGCTGAAGAGGCATTGGGTTCCCACTGTCCCCTAAAGAGCCCCAGGAAACACTCTTCACAATGGGGGCTGCGGGGCCACCCCAGAGGGGTCCTGGCCTTCCTGGGAAGGGGGCCGCAGGGGCCCTGGACCCATCATCCTCAGAAACAACTCAGGACATGGAGGGGCCGGGACTTGCTCTCCTGCTGGGGAAGCTTGTCATAGTCACTACCCCATGGCAAATACCTCCAAGGGGTGGTGGCAGCATCCAGACCCGTACCTGTCTGAGGGCCTTGGGACTCGAGCCCGTGGGGAGAAACAGAGTGGGACCAGCACCTCCTCTGCCAGCTCTTACTGCTGAGCAGCTGCTGGCAGAAGGCAGTTGCCTGACAGCCCTTCTGGAGAGCCCTCTGGCCTCCACCTCCAGGAAGCCTGCCGCCTGACCTGTGGGAGGGTCAGCTAGAGTCCGAGGCCCAGAGTCAGCCCCGAGCTGACCATGGGAACAGGATGAGCAGGGGACTGCCTATGCATCCAGCAAATGCTGACCCCGTGGGCTCCCGTGGACATTTCCTCGCCTGGCCTGGCCAGGGGACATCCCCACAGGAGCAGCTGACAGAGTCCACGTTAGCCACCACCCCTGAAAGTCCCCGGCCTCCTGAGCTTCAGAATGTCTGGAGGGGCTTCTGAGAGAACGCCTCGCCAGGGTGAGTCATGGGAGTACCCCAGGGGACACCAGGCACAAAGGAGTGGGGAGGGTGGTGTCTTGGCATCCTTCCCGTCAGCCTGGACCTCCCCTGAGTGCAGGATAACACCCCTTGGCCTCTCCCTGCCAGCCCAGTGTCTGCGTGCTTGTCCTCTTGCTGTTAAATGTGGTGAGGCAATGGGGGGTGAGGGGGTGGGGGGCAGGGTGCAGGCTCTGCAGCCAGGCTGCTGTGGTCCAAGTCCCATCCCACCACTCTTTAGCTGTGTGACCTTGGGCAAGGCACTAACCTCTCTGTGCCTCAGTTTCCTGATCAGTCAAATGGGAGGATGATAATCGTTCCTGCCTGATGGGCTGTGGAGGGGTAAGTGAGGAAATGAATATAGAGCCTTTAGCACAGGGCCGGGCACACAGCATATGCTCAGAACCTGTGAGTTGTACTTGAGGTTATTGCTGCTATCGAGGCAAATCAGAGCAGTCCAATTCTTGGGCTCCCAGGAGAGCATGGAAGGCACAGTTCAAACATCTTGCGAGGGGGGTGGTAAGATTGTATGACGTGAGACGCCGCTACCCCAGGCCCCCGGGGGCCATGACCCCAAGTCTCTAAAGGACCCCGTGGGAGGAGAATGAGGAGTGTTACTGTTTTGCCGTCATGACTCACCACTCCCTTCCTCTGGTTCCCATGGCAGCAGCTGGTACCCCGCTGGCCTGGACTGCTCCAGTGACCCCTGTTGTCCCTGGGGGGACATCAGCGCTCCTAGGCACCCTGGCCCAGAAGCCCAGCCATGGTCTGAGCCAGAGCAGCACCTGGTGCTTCCCTGGAAGGATGGCACCCCCGCCCCTCCAGGCCAGCCCATCACTGGAAGTGGGATTTGAAACACAGCCAAGGAGAGGAGGCCGTCAGCAACGCCCGGAACGCGAAACAAATAAATAAATAAATAATCAGGGTTGTCTTGGCTGATAAACGGTCTCTACCTCGAGGACGACTTCTCCCCCCTGCCGCCCCCTCCTTCCTCCTTCTCCGGGCAGATCCATCCCGGGCAAGAGCTTAATAGCCCCATTTAAGGCTTTTCCTTTTCACCACGGAATTGAGCTGCTCCTGCCATTACGAGGTTTTCAGCTTCTCTCTGAAATCAAATTACTGACTCCATTTAATTTTTTAAAAGCTCGGATGATTTCCCTTCTTGAATCAGAGCCGTGACTCCAAGGCCAGCCCCCCACCCTGCCAGGCGGTTCCCCTGCGGGCGGCCGCTGCCCGGGGATGACGGCACCCATGCCAGGGCAAGCCTGACACCTAGAGGGGAAGGCAGCAGAAGGAGGGCCAACCTCATGGCCACTGCCCAGGACACCTGGCTGGGTGGCCCGGACTGCGGAGGAAAGAAGGCCTTGGCCTCCCCTGGGCCTGGATCAGCTCACAGGAGCCCATGGCATCGGGGCTAGAAGTTCTTCTAGCTGGTGGGGAAGGCGTTTAGAGCCCAGCACTGATGTGGTGGGCTCATTGTTGGCTGGTTCCCCAGACCCCCAGTTGCCTTCCCGTAGTGCATATCCTGGACCCCATCATTTGACAAATGTTTATGGAGGGCATCCTCTGTGCCAGATACTGTTCCAGCTCTGGGGGTGTGGGGGGAGACGGTGAATTGGACAGAGAAAGACCCTGGGGCAGGAGCGAAAGGTCTAGTGTACACGGGTGCAAGCGTGTGCACGTGTGTGAAGAGGGGACAGAGACTGACAATAAACAATTGACAATGACAATTTCAGGTAACGCCAAGTGCTCTGAAGAGACCCAAACCTGCAACTTGGGTGGTGGGCTGCTTTGGGTGGGACGGTCGGGGTGGCCCTTCTGAGAAGTAAACCTGGAAAGAACTGGGGACGCCATCCAGGCAGAGGGACAGCAAGTGCAAGGGCCCTGAGCAGGGTTGGAGGGACAGAAAGGAGGCCAGTGGTGAAGCTGGTGGAGTGAGCGGAGGGCGTGGATGGGAGGAGGGGCCTGCAGGGCTGTAGGCCAAGGCAGGAGGCCAGATTTTATTCTGGCTTTAAAAAGCGGGCTGGAGAGTGGACATCAGAGAGGCAACAGCAGCAGCAAGGGGATGGGGAGCTCTGGGCAAGAGAGGCCAACACGTCCCACTGGAAAGGAAGGTGACTCTCAGGGCCCCTCTTGGGGCTTCTTGGGGGGCTTGAGCCTCTCCCACTCCACCTCCAGGTGACTCGGTGGAGAAGGCTGCCGGTGAGGTTTGAGTCCTGCCACATCTTCTATCCCACACACCGGCCTGCAGTGTTTCTGCCAGGAATCAGTCCCCGTCTCTGTCTCTCCGTCTCTCCTCCAGCCACCCCCTGCCCATCCACCTCTTCCCTTTCTCCATCTCTGCAGAGTCACCCAGCCTTGGCACCTCACAGACTAGGGGCACAGACACCCGAGAAAGTCCTGTAAACCGAGGCTGACCCTTTACCAAGTCCTCCTCCGATTTAACCACCCTGCACCCTTGGAGACGAGACAAAGGGAATGGAGTTAATGAAATCGCCAGCCTTTACCTGGCATAACTGGCTCTTCGCCCTCCAGGCGGGCGGCGATTTGCAGGCGGAGAGGGTCTGGGCATTAGCCGTTCTGGGCACTCTTCCCAGCCCAGTGCGCTGTGCCGCTGGACAAACCACTTCCCTTCTCTTCCTTCCCCTTGCTCCGCTCCGCACCGACTCAACAGCAGGACAGTTGCGTTTAATTAGAAAATGCTGGGACTTCTGGGGAGGTCTCCTGTTCTCCCTCAAGACAGGACAACCCCAGATCTGTGACCAGGGCTCTGGGTCCGCCAGCAGGGCCTGGGTGTCACCTGTGCCTGATCCCGGGGCTGTGCGGGCACATGTGTGAGTGTTTTCCCTGCCTTGGGGACCTCCAGTTTTTCTGAGCCCTCCCAGGTCCTACAGTCATTTGTTTATGGCTGACGGCTGAGAGCTGACATGTCTGTGCTCAGTGAAATCCTGGCAGGGAGCAGCTCCTCGCGTCGGGGTCAGCACCCTGCTGGGCGGGCTATCAGACAAGCTGGTATTTGGGTGGCTCCCCACCCTCAGCAGCCTGGAGCTCCATCTTTTTTCCTCCGTGACTCTGTGCATAAAGCCTAGGGTCTGTGATGCATTTATTGTCTTTCTCTCCTGTTACCTGGAGCAGCCAGTGCTCCAGTTTCCCTTTGGGGTTTTGCTCCTTGAACCGGTTTTGACATCCCGCAACATCCAGGCTCATTGTTTTCCCTTGCTGAAGGTCTTGAATTCCCAGATTTTAGATGCAGGCTTCTTCCATCACAACACGCTCTTCCAGCCTCAGCTGTAAGTCTCCATCGGGTATTTGAATGTTACTTAAACTGGAATTAGAGTCATCAGCTTAGTAATCCTCCAAATTACTGCATAACCAGAGACAGAGTGTGGTGGGAAGAGCTGCCTCTGGGTGTCCTGCCCAAGCTGTGTGATCTTGAGCAAGTCAGTTCACTTCTCTGAGCCTCCGCTTCAGCATCAGGCTATTTGGAAACAGGAGCAGATGGTCAGACAACCTCCACTCTAGGGTAACGTGACCATCCGTGAAGATGGTGTTTCTAATGCAGTTCTGTGGGAACCCCTCACCCCGAGGATCCATCTTCCCCGGCTCAGCCCACTTCCCGTTACCTCTGTGGCTCACAGGTCTGGTCTCTGGGGCTGGGGGCTGCCAGAGACATCAGACCAAGACAGTGGGGGGACAAGATAGGAGGATATAGACAGATGCTCGTTCCCATGTAGCTGGCTAAAGTCCACACCTACTTGCTCCACAGGTGACCTCCCACCAGCTCCTTCTTCCTCTCCCAAGTCCCAGGCTGAGCTGTCCCACATCCCAGATCTCAAAGCTCTCAGAACGGTGGTTCTCAAAGTGGGGTCCTTGGACCAGCAGCATCAGCATCGCCGAGAACTGGTTAAAAATGCAAATTCTTGGGCTTCATCCCAGACCTACAGATCCAGAAACTCAGGGGGTGGGTTTTAATCCCAGCCGTCTGTGCTTTAACAAGCCCTCCAGGTGATTCTGATGCACACGGAGGCTGAGGACCACTCCCCGGGAGAATCTGTGCCGGGATACCCCTCTAAGTCAGAGGCTTCTTCTGCCTCCATAATAATGGCCACACTTGGCACCCCTACATCTTCCAAGTGCTTTCCACCTCCAGCTGCCCACTGCAACTAGCACCATCCCTCTGAGGAGAGAAGGAATCGTTCTTCCATTTTACACACGAGGAAACTGAGGCTCAGGGCCTCGCCCAAGGTCACGGACGGCAGAACCAGGTCTCCATCTGGCCTCCTCATTCCAAGGCAGGGGTTCTTTCCTGGCTACCTTGTGGTTTTCCGGGCTCCTTAGACCAAAGGAATAAACACATTCCCACCCACCAGAAAAGAAATCCCCACTTCCAGCCCTCTCTCCCCAATTTCCAGTTGCAATCCCAGGAGAGAGCATCCAGGAAACATAAATTTTGCTGGCGGCTGAGTAAGAGCTCTGAAAGGAGTTACACGTCAGGGAGATGGGACTTTATTTCTCAATGAAATAGCCTTTTTATGGTTGGAATAAAAGTGCCAGCGGGAGCCTAATGCCAGGAAGTAGCGAGCACGTTTGATAAACTCCTTCAGCGGGGGGCGGGGCTGCTCGGGAGGGGGCGGCCGGAGAGAGCGGTCAGCACGTGCCCACATGCGTGTTTAAGGTTAGAGCGGGGAAGATCCTGGGGTCCTTCTCGTGGACTTCGCCGCTGGAGAAGGGCTGACCCCCTACCGTGCGAACGTCTCCGCTCGGCCACCGGGTCCCGGTAGCGGGGCTGCAGTGCAGAGAGCGGGCAGCAGGGGGCAGCATAACCCACCGTTCCAGCGCGGGCGAGTGGGCGCCGCGGGGGGCCGCGGGCTGGGGCGGGGGGGGGGGGGGGGGTCTCTGTGGCTCAGCCTGCAGAGGGGGTCAACAGTAATCCACTCCCTTGGACCTCTTCTGCTCGCTTCAGCCCTTCGCATCCCCAGGCCCTTCTCAGCAAGGACAGTTTGTCATCCTTACCGGGGCAGTAGCTCTGCCAATCCAAATCTTTATGGGGGTGGGGGTAAGTGGGGGTGACGGCTCCTCCATCCCCTTGCCTACCCTCTGACGGGTTTCTCCAAACTTCTCCAGGCTTGGCTTTGGACCTGATTAACCCCCTTGGCTTCATCTGAGGGGCCTCTTGAGGGGACTCAGTGTGTGTGTGTGTGTGTGTGTGTGTGTGTGTGTAGGGGGTCGCTTTTGTGGAGGGGAGCCCGCAGCCTTCATGGTCACCGGGGGCAGGAGAAAACCCTGAAGGACAAAGAGAAAGCGAGGAAACCTCATTTGAGAATGTGTGTGATTGGCAGGTTTACGGCCTGGGGAAGGTGCGTGGTATTCTGCACAATCAAGTCATTTTTAAAAATAATCTCCCTGCTTAAGTCGTACACGCTGCTAATTGCATTTTAATAAGTCTCTTAAAATCTTGCCATATTTTTTAATATCCTAATATTAGGTAAGTGATTGCGGGGGACACTGGAGGGCACGGGGAGTTTATATAATGGAGGGAGGGCTGTAATGACGCTGGGGGTGGCGGCGGCACAAGTGGCCTGTGATGTGTGTGTGGGTCTGTGTCTGTATGACGTGTGATGGGGGCGTGAGTGTGCCCGTGCTGAGTGTATATGATGTGTGACTGTCTGTAGACCAGGCTTCCCCTCTGACCCAGCCCATCCTATCCCAAGGATGAGGGTCCTGAGCCCACACAGGGGATGTGACTTGTCCAAGGCCAGGCAGCAAGAGGGAGACCCAAGGGGGAGCTCCCACCCCAGTCTTGTGAGAGCAAGAGAAGAACCAGCTTTGCACCATCCCTGTCACGGCATCCTTGCACACGCACTGCTTGTTCTACCCTAACTGCTCAGTGCCATGGGGAGGGAAGAAGTGGGGAGCTTCTGATGGGAGCTCCATGGGTATGCC